ACAGACTGAAAGTCCAGAGTCCGCTTTCCTCTCAGGGCCACATCATCTCTGTGCTCCTTCACTTCACCTGTTCTCTGCTGGACCAGCGGAGGTATACACGGACGGTAGGCAAGAGGAATAGAAAAGAGAAAAAACAAAGTCATGGCAGTGAAACAACTTTTGCGTCAAAATTACTAAGAATACACAACACAATCCCAGGGGTGCAGATTTTCTATGGATTCCTTCTTACCACCAGCTTGCTTTAAAGCTGGCATTGCCTCTGTGATATCATAGTGGTGAACTCTGCTCTGAGTAGCAAAGGAGCTGAGAATCCAGAATTCAAGGGCAAAGACACAAGCCTACCACCTGCACAGGAAACAGCTCTCTGGGGTCAGCATTCGGCTGCTTAGGCCTCACTCCCCAGCCCTCCTGGCAGAGGAGCGGAAGCTGGTCTTTGCTGGTATGAATAGTGATTTAAGAACATGGCAGTTGACTGTCCAGATGAACTTGAGCCTCAAAAGTTAGCCATGATAACTTGCATACTGTCACTAATCTCAAAATGGTACCAGCCAGAGTGAGTCTCAAGACAGTCCCACTACTCAGCAGTAACTCAAGATGAGACAGACGAAAGGTGAGCTCAGGATTCCAGAACCTTTGGCCTCTTCCCTCCTCCTTCCACAGACACCTGGGCTTTGCCTTTCCCCTCTGCTGTCTCACCCCCAAAATTAACCCTGTCGGTCCTACCTAGCAGATTCCCTCTGGTTAACCAGGACAGTAGCTAATGCTATTGTCATTTAATCCTCACCAGGAACCTATGGTTATCCCACTTTATAGGTGGGAAAACTAAGGAATGGGAGGTTATGTCATTTACTCAAGGTTACCCAGATAATAAGTGTCAGAGCTAGGATTTGAACCCAGACACCTCACCCCAACCCTGGAAATCAAGCTCTTAACCACCACGCTGACTCTTTCAACTTGGAATAGCTCCAATGATGGTGGTGCATCAGGACACAGATAATCCAAAAGAGAGGAAAATCCAAAATTCTTGTGCGTGGGAAATGCATCATATGGACTTTTGCAACAATTTTTGCTTCTTAATCATGGTTTGCTGAAGCTGGCATCAATTTGGTCTACATTATCTCAGCCACGTAAGCCCATGAGTGGAGGGCCAGCGGCACTCGGAGAATGGGTTACCCCTGGGGTGTGAGCAATCGCAGGGGTGCTGCTGCTCAGCCTGGGGGGAGAGCACGAGACCTGAGGATGGCCAGGGGAGAGCCCATCTCAAAAGGGGGTAGGGATTGCAGGGAAAGACATCCATCCCTGAAAGCACCATCCCATCTGGGCGATCAGGCCCACATGGCTCTGAGGAGCTGGACATGAAGAGGTTTGGTTTACCATTCAGGGAGATCCAGGAAAACCCTGTCCCTAGCCCTGGTATCTTCCCTGCCGTTTGGGACCTGTCCCCAGGGAAAGAAGGAGTGGCAGGTATAAGAGAAAAACACCTATGATTTTTTTTCATCCTCCTTCTTCCATTATACCCCCGAAATCCACATCTCCAGTGGTTTCCAGCAAATAAGGAGGTGGGCAAAAATAGATGTGTGTGGGGGGGAGGGGGGGTTAGGGGAGAATAGGAGAAGGGGAAAGAGCATAAGAGAGCACTAAGCTCTCACACTCCAGAGAGTTTAGGGGGAAAGTAATTTTCCCAGGCCCTGCCTGCTTAGGGGTTTGGCCAGGTGTCCCCCTTGGACAACCTGTTGACCTAATGGAGGCGTTGGGCCTTGTTTCTGGTAGTGGGTGTGAATGGGTGGGAGGGAGGGACAACTGAAAGAGTGGGAGGAGGAGGCCGACCTGAGCGCTAGATCTGAAGCTGTCTTCAGGGAATGGTTGGGAAGGCTGATGGGCTGTGGGACAGCAGGGTGGGATGGTGGGTGGAAGGGTAGGGTTAAAAGCCGCCTCTTAAAGGGATCCTGTCAACAGCCTCCCACAAACATGGTCCCTCGCCCCTGCATTCTGGCTAAATGCAAAAGATCTCCTCAGGGCTGGGTCCCCAGAAACCCTTGGTGACAAGGGCATGGCTGGTTTCTGCAGCCAAGGGAGGCCCAGGCACTGGGCCCACCAGATAGCTTGCCATAGACCAGAGACGTCATTCAAAAGCCTCCAGCAGCACAGCCTGTTGAAGGCAAGGGCAAGGCATAAGGCATAAGGCATGAACCCAGCCATCCCAGTAGCAGGCAGCCATGAAGCTGTGGAAGCAGCCGTGGTCCTGGAGGAATTGACTGTGGTGTTTCCTTCTGTCTCTGCACACAGAGACCCAGGAGACATGGTGACACGTGATGCACACCCAGGAGGTTGACAGGGTCCCTTTAGGTCTTGGCCCCTGTCCTGGTGCCCCAGCTGATTAACCTGTGTGTTAACCTCGCCTTTGCCTGTTCTCTGCCTCTCTTCCTTTCCCTTTTCTCCTCTCAGAGGTGTTGCAGACCAAGGCCAACTTACCCATTTTGTTTCAGGTCTCTCATGGATGAAAGACTCCAATCATCCTCCTTTCTGAGCCCTGAGCCTTCCACCTTCCTACCTCTCCTCCTGTCCCCACTTTCAAACCGTGTTTTGTTGCCATGTTTTCTAGGCTGGATGCAGAATATCCTGGACTCTGCTCTCATTCCTGTTTCTCTCCTTTCTCCCCCTTGACTTCTTCCCTTCCTTTCTGAAATACCTCTACCCACAAAGATGGTGTTCCTATCTAGAGATAACCCCCAATATTTTCCAGATTCTAATTTTAAAACATATGCATCTTTATAGTCCATTTGGGGCCTTCACTCTTTACCTTCCTCCCTTCAAAACCAGCCCTCTCCATTTGCCCTGAGAATGACATCTGAGAACCTGGGAGGGAATTGGTTGTTTCCTGCTCATAACATCTGATTTAGATGAGAGAGAGAGGCCCCTCTTTGCCTCAGAGAGTCTAGTATGTTCAGAAAAATATTCTGGGAAGCCAACAAGAAAGCCATGTATTCAGGCTGACCCTCACCTAACCCATGCCCTGGCCAACCTCTGCTTCCCCGGCCTGACCATGCGAGGTCTCCACAGTGGCACTTCTGTTTTCTTTTGGCAGAAATGCCTGGGAACCGAGAGGCCCCTTTCCCTGTGACCTGACCTCCCACACTAAGAATAACAGCCCTAGGACAGCGTGTCTTGCGATCCCTCTGGAAAGGGCATGGCTGGGAAGTGGGGAAGTTAAGGGAGCTGGATAGAGCCAGGAGGAAATGGAAGACACAGACTCATGGCTCTTGTGAGTAAAAAATAAAAAGGGAGCCGAAACCGGTTTGGCTCAATGGATAGAGCGTCGGCTTGGTGACTGAAAGGTCCCGGGTTCGATTCCGGTCAAGGGCATGTACCTTGGTTGCGGGCATATCCCCAGTAGGGGGTGTGCAAGAGGCAGCTGATCGATGACTCTCATCGATGCTTCTAACTCTCTATCTCTCTCCCTTCCTCTCTGTACAAAATCAATAAAATATATTAAAAACAAAAAATAAAAAGGGAGAGTTGGCAGCCTTCTAGAGGGCTGGGGAGAGAGACCTGGGAAATTCTCAGGAGAACTTGAGTGCTTCCAGACCCACTCACCAGGCTCTGGAATTCCACCTCCCGGGAGCCCCAACCGGTGGCTAGAGGAGAGGAAAGGTCTGGTGCTGCTCAGCAAAGGGGCTCCAGTCCTGTTTTGTCCCCTTTGCAGACATTTCTTTAAAAACTGAAAGAGCAAATGTCCTTTTTTAAAGAAGACAAATGTCTTTAGTACTAGGTCCTTTCCTCTCCGTGGGAAATGTGGCTGTCCTGTCCCTAGGGTTTCCTCACCTGTGAGCAGATGCCCATGTGGTCACAGCACTGCTCTCTAAATCCCTCACCTCACAGAGAGGCAAATGGTCTACCCAGGACTCCTGGAATCCTCTAGGGAACCTGGGACCACCTATCCTTTGTTGACCAGTTGTCTAAGTACCTTGAAGTCTTTCAAAAGGATTCATCTCTTCCCTTTTCTAAATATGGCAGAGATAAAATTCCATAGGTGCAGGGTAAAGTGGTAAAAACGGGACACTGTCCCTCCTCTTCCATGCCAGAATCTCTCCTTCCTAAGAATCCTGTTCCCTTCCATACCCGCTACCCAGACTATCCCTGTCAACCCAGTTCTCAAGAAAGGCTTTGATAACTTCATTCACTTTGGTGGCACCTGCATTTCAGTGGGATCCTATGTCAGAATGTCACTGTTGGGACAGGAGCCTGGGCAGGTGTTGCTTAGGAGAGCATAGGGCCATGTCCTGCTCTCCCCAGCTATGAGACCTACCTGGACAATGTCTCTTTTCAGTCAGGAAAGCCTTTGCCACAACAGAGGTGCCCCTGAAAATTCTTGGACCTATCCAGAGCTGGAACAAGGTGACGGCCATTCTGTCTGCATAAAGTCCAGCTCTTTATAGACATTGTTCAATGATGTGGTCCCCTTGTCATTGCTGAACTTTACATGAGGCACCTCTGAGCTAAGACGACCTGGCCACCCTTCCGGACCACACTGGTCGCTTCTCTTTAGCTCCCAGATCACCCATCGGCCCACAGCCTGTTCTCTAAGGAGTCATCCAGCTGTGGTCCCTCCCTGCCTCCAGACAGGCCCTTCTGAAAAAGAGAGCTGGGGACATGGGAGATGCTGAATGTGGACTGAAAAGAGAGTCCAGCCACACCCATGCCCCATGGCAGCTTGTGCTGCCTGGGAAGTAGACAGGGCTTCTGAGCAGGAGGGCGGTGAAGCGGAATGGTCTGGAGGAAGGGGAGCCGTGTGGCCATGGGGAGGCAGGGCAGAAGGATTGGACTAGTCGCCTTCTGACACCTCCTTTCCCCCTGGGCTCCTGGGCTCTGAGAGGGTGTTTGGAACTCCAGCAGCAACACTGAGGTGCCGGAACGGTGATTCTGATGCTGATTGTTGCTCTGTTCTTGTCTGTCTAATATTCCTTTTTAATCCCCATCCTGCCTGCCCCTCCCTTATGTAGGGTTACTTTAGTGATCCCTGGAATGTTTTTGACTTCCTCATCGTAATTGGCAGCATAATTGACGTCATTCTCAGTGAAACTAATGTGAGTATGACTCTGCCCTCCCCAGGAACCTCCTCCTTCCTCTTCCTCTGCCTCCTGTTTCCCTCTTACTCTTTCTCTCTCTCTTTACCTCCTTTTATTTATTTGTTTTAATTTCCCGTTTTTACCCGCCTCTAGTCATGCTTTTTATTGAACCTGCCGTCGTCCTGTGAGGGAAAAAAAGTGGGAGCCTCTCCTCCTTTTTTTCCACTAGTCCCAGCTCGGCCCTGTGTGCCAGGCCCAGGAGCTTGGCCGAGTGGAGGGAGCAGGCAGTGGGAGGCCGCCAGCTGCCCTCCCACGTGGCCACAGCCCGGCGTAACCTTTGAACTAACCTAGCTTTTGTCAGGCCTCTCCACCCTGCGAAAACCAGGTGACCCAGGTTTGAGCCACCAGGACTGTAGAGTGGTAAGAGAGTATTTACTATGCCCACGTAACCTCTTTCTTTTCTCATTTTTTTCTCTTCTCTCCTTTCTTTCATGCTTTGTTTTGTTTTGTTTTGTTTTTCCTCTTCCTTTTTGTTTTGTTTTTCTCCTTTGTTGTTGGTTTTTTGTTTTGTTTTTTTTCTTCTCTCTTTCCTCGGCTTCTCTGCCCCATGCAGCACTATTTCTGTGATGCATGGAATACGTTTGACGCCTTGATTGTTGTGGGTAGCATTGTTGATATAGCAATCACCGAGGTAAACGTAAGTACTTGGCGTCTGGACCTGACTGTCCGTGCCTGCTCTAACACTCATTGTCTTTCCCCGGTTTATTGTTTTTCTTCCTATTTTCTCCTCCCCACCTCCTTATTTTCATTTACTGGTTTTCATTTGTTTGTTTATATTGGTTTGGAGGATTTTTTTTTCTTGTTGCTTTATTTTGAAAATGTTATTATTTATTTAACCTTGGAACGAGACAGGTCTCCCTTTCCTTTAAGTTTTGATTGCTGCATCCTTTTCTCTCTCCCTTTACTCTCAGCCTGGCATGACTCACCCTGTATAGGAGGATGCAGCTATGGGGAGCACGGAGTGAGAAAATCAAGGGACATTTGCTACATCTGGGCAGCTGCTGGGGCGGGGACCCAAACCTCTTTTCACTCCACTCACCCCCAGGCCTCTGCCTCTCCCTGCTCGCCTTCCCGCCCACAGAATCTTGGGAAGGAGCTCTCTCCAAGTGGGACGCTGGAGTGAAGGCTGGGTCTTCGCCTGCATTATCAGCCCCAGGCCCGGCCCGTGACTTTCACACTGAAAGGGCTTTGTCTGATTTAACAGCAGCCCATGCAGGCAGCCCGGCCCTTCCAGGCCCATTTGGGAGAGAAGAGAACTGGTCATGTGCAGAGCCCTGCTTGCACCCCTCTTCTCTGGAGTGGCCGAAGAGCCAGGTGGCTGGTGACCCACCGAGAGAGAGCCCTTCTGAGGTCTTTCCTCCCTCTTGCTGGGGCAGCAGCACCTCCCTCCCACATGAACCCAAGGAATGGACTCTTGTACCCGCCTGGTTCTCTCCCACTCCCGCCCCTCGCCCTGCCCTGGCTCCCTGGCCCCAGACAGAACCCCAGCCCCTGCGCTCCGAGGCCTCCTGCTGCCTTCCCCGAGAGTTGCCTCCTCCTATACAGCTCCTACCAGTTCCTGCACATGTCTTTTTGTTACCTGGCATGTTTAATTAAACCTTCTCTTTATCTATAGGCAAGCCCTCTGCAGTAGTCTTAAAGATGTATTAATTTTTTGTCATAGTTTTTCCTTAATTAAGAGACTTGTTAATGTTTGCACAAAACCCTGATGCACTGAACCATGAATAACAGCATGGAGTAGATGCTGTCCGGTTTGGATCAAAAATGTTTGAAACTGCCCTACCAACCGCCACCATCTCCCCACGGTGTTCCACATCCCCTCTCCTCCATACTTTGCTCCCCATCAGTGGAACTGACGTGTCATTTTATCTGCCTGACTTCCCTGATGAAAGCCCTGTCTGCCCCCTCCCAGCAGATGGACATTGAAGGAGGTTGTAACGCTTCCCATACACTCCCTCAACCTCTAGCACCCTCCCACGCACCCCTGGTTCAAGATTTGGTTGCCTCTCTGTTTCCCAGATCCCCCTAGTTGTCTTTGTCGTGTGTGTGTGTGTGTGTGTGTGTGTGTACACTTGCCCTTGACTTCTTCCAGTGAACGACAGGTTATATTTTTTAAAAACCAGTCCTCCTACACATGCTCTGTGTCCCCCTCCCTTCATACTCTGCCTCACCTCTCCTGAGCACACTCCCAGTTCTGCAGGCTGGATGGCCCACGTTGTATCTCAGATGCTATTCAGAGCCATGAGTTGGTCATGTGTCTGTAAAGGCCAGCGCTTCAGGCTCGGAGCTGGCGCCATGCAGTGCCCTGGACTGAGGGCGAATTCAAGGAGAGGACAGGGAAGAAAGCAGCAGTGGGCCCTGCCCTCTGAGGTTGTATTTTCAGACAGCAGTGCAGGAGCTTATGAAGCCTGTGCCAGGGACTGGGAGCCTGAGAGCCAGCAGGGAAATGCCAGCCGGTGTCAGCAAGCTGCTCCTTGCATGCAGAGAGAACCCACTGTCGGCAAGGCCCACATCAACACTCAACCTGCCAGTTCCCCCCAAACTGTTAGCGTTTCTAAAAGAAAAACAAAGACAAAGCAAAAGAAACTTTTAAGGTGTAAATTTCCCTCTCTGCCGATACATGAAGTGGTCATGTATCGGCAGAGAGGGAGGGTGCAGGACAGGGAAGGAGCGTAAGGCCGCAGACCCTCCATTTGTACGTGGTTTTCTACTGACGACTCACCCTTGCATTTGTCTCATGTAACTGAACTACCCTGCGAGTCTGACAGACAGAAATTATCATCCGCAATCTGCTGTCGCTGAAGATGCTGGTGGAGAGGTTAAGTCCTTTTGTGGCGTGCAGCTAGTCCAGCCCCTCACTCATGGGGCCCCGCCCGAGTTCTCTCTCTAATCCATGATGCCCTTTGATAAGCACATGCATCTCATATGTCCTTCCACCAGCAGGTTTGATCAGCCCTTATGTTCTGTGATTTATATTCAAAATAACCATACGATTTTTGATAGTCTACACAAAAAATGACACATCAGCCCCCTTGGAGCTGGGATGCAGCTCTCACCAGCCTCCCTTACCCCAGGTTCAGGCTCTTCCTCCTCTAGACCAAGGTGAAGAGTCACACTGAAGGGGGGGTCTGGTGACGAAATGGGGACAGTATGTGCGATGGAGAGCAAGGGGCATTGCCCAAGACACGGCACTTATTTCCCTCCACACAGTGAACGGCTTGTAAACCAGGCAGGGGCGGTGTGGAAAGAGGAGAGAGGGCTGACCTAAGTCAGAGCTGGCAAGTGGCTGAGTCTTGCTTCTTTTTTTTTTTTTTTTTTTTTTTTCTGGAAAAGAAGATGCGTTTCCCCCAGTCAAAAGAATGTGATCCTCTTATGGAACTATGTTTTGAAGCTCAACTAAGAGCATCTATTTTAAAACTCTATGTAAACCATAAAGTGCTGTGGAATGGAAGAGACTGTGGCACCCAAGCAAATGACATTTTTTTGCCAAATGCCTGCTGGAATAGCTGGGAGGTCCTCAGCTCTAGCCAGTTATCTTTAGTTATAACTTACACCCCACAGGCACTGTTAGAGCCCTCTTTCCCAGATATGGTTAGATTCTTGGAGATGGTCGACAGGTGGGGCCAGACCAAAGCCAGCACAGCTCACTGACCACTGCCCATGCCCACGCCTGGGCAGCGCTGTTCCCCAGCACATTGCCCTGCACCCGGAGACAGTCCGTATGTGGATGACAACTTGTATAAGCAATCATGCTTAGTCTCAGAGGTAGGTCCCTCTGCCCATAGGTTCTGCCTCAGGCCACTGGCAGCTCCTGGGTCCGAACACTCCCTCGTGCAAGAGGTTTACAGCTCCAGGTGTCCCCTGGGGCCGCTCCAGGTCTTCCCAGAATTTTCTAGTCTTACTTGTCATCACAAGATACTCATTCCCAGACATATGTCCTATTTGGCAGGAATCTATCTTTACCTTGGCCTCAGGAGGATCCATGAGGACTTTTCACCTGTAACTCATTGTCTTTGACTCTTAAACCTACAGAAATTAACTCTCACTTCCCTCACATAATTGCCATATTCATCATAACCGCCCTCCAAACATCTCTCACATCTAAGCTCATCTCCCATAAATGCCTTCTCTGTCTTCCTTGCCTTTACAAGCCTATGACACCTCTTCCTCTGGGAAATGGGTTTCCCACCCATCCCAGGAGCCAGCATTCATTCATCCCACCATATATATCATCTCCTCTTCTGTGTGCCAGCTACCATTGTAGGCACCTGGAGTACCTCAGTTCACAGAACAAAAGCTCCCTTTTCATGAGCTGGCAGTCTAGGGTCAGGATAATCCACCCGTGAGCAATGCAAGGAGTACAGAAAACAAGGAAGTCATAGTCCTTTGAAAGCTGGTAAGTGCTTTGGGAAAGAAGAGTGTCTTGTGAGGTGGTCAGAGGTGCTAAGAGGCAGTGAAGGAAGGTGCTATTTCAAATAAGATGGAAGTGAGGAGTTACCCATGCACATACCTGGGAAGAGGACTTTGGGGGCAGGAGGAAGGGCTGTGACTGATGCAGAAGGAGCAGGGGAGATGAAGAGGGGAGGGGACCAGAGAGGAGGAGCAGGATTTGGCTTTTACGCTGAGCAAGAAGGGGAGACACTGGTGCCTCTGAGAAGAGGTGTCCCCTAATCTGACTTACTTTTCCCAAGGCCAGCTGGCTGTCTATGGGAGTCAAGGTGGAAGCACAACACCATGAAGAAGGTGCACATGATCACCCAGGTGGGAGGGGACCGTAGCCTGCAACAAAGCAGCAATAACAGAGGTGGTGAAAACGGTCCAATTCTCGGTCTGTTTTGCAAATAGAATGACAGTATCTCCTGACAGACTGGATGTGGGAGTGGGAGAAAGAGGTGGCCAGGATGGCTGTGAGGTTTGGGCCTAAACAGTGGGAGGATGGAGCTGGTATGAACAGGGAAAGACAGGAGGTAGAGCGCGTTTGCACGAGGAACTCGTTGGGATCCATCTATTTCACCTTCCAGTGGGGATGGCAGGTAGACAGTTAGACATAGAGTCTGAGGGTGGGGCTTGGAGTTGTATAGGTAGTGTTCAAAGCCATGACAATAGTGAAGAGCTCCCAGGGCAGAAAGAAAGACAGGAGACAGGACTGAACGGGGCGGGACCTCCAGTGAGGAGGGCGGGACGTTTGGTGCTCAGAGCCAGCCTGGGGTTCACTTTCTGTTCCCCCTGGGAGATGCCTCTGATCCCTGCAGAATGCACCAGGAGGGTGATCAGAAGTCTCCACCATGTGGAGCTGTACTGATTCTGCTCCCACTGCTCTTCTCCGAGGCCTCACCTCGTTCTCAGTCAGAGGCTTCCTTCCTCCGTGTCCCCTGGGAAGTCCAAGGGCAGCGTCTTGTCACTAAGGAAGCCTCTGGTGTTCCTTTATTTCTTGGGTCTGAAATTATATTTCCCAGAGGGAAAAGCCCAAGACATAGGCCATGTGATTGTTAATGGAAGTTCCTGGAGCATCAGAAACTGCTCCCTAACATCCCAAGTTGGAATCATTTTGGGTCCCTGGTCATTCAACACCTTTCCCAACACTGTTCTTTATCATTATGTATTTTAGAGATTATTGCACAATAGAGAGTGCTGAGA